CTACAGGCATACCTCATTTAATTGCACGTCATTTTATTATGCTTCACAGATAATTGCATTTTTACAAATTAAAGGTTTGTGTCAAGCTAGTCTATCTGCATCATCTTTCAAACAATATTTGCTCATTTCACGTCTCTGTCACATTTTGGTAATTCTCACAGTATTTCAAACTTTTTCATTACTATTATATCTGTTATGGTTATCTGAGATCAGTGCTCTTTGATGCTGCTATTATAATTGTTTCAGGGAGCCACAAACTGTGTCCGTATAGTATAGCAAGTTTACTCAGTAAGTGTACATGTTCTGACTGCTTCGCCAACCACCATATTTCTCTCTCTCCCCAGGCTTCCCTATTCCCTGAGATACAACAATATTGAAATTAGGTCAGTTAATAACCCTGTCATAGCCTCTAAGTGTTTAAGTGAACAGAAGAATCTTATGTCTCTCATTTTAGATCAAAGGCTAGAAATAATTAAGCTCAATGAGGAAGGAATGTGAAAAGCCAAGATAGGCTGAAAGCTAGGCCTCTGGTGCCAAACAGTAAGCTAGGTTGTAAATGCAAAGGAAAAGTTCTTGAAGGAAATTAAAAGTGTTATTCCAGTGAACACATGAATGATAAGAAAGTACCCTAATTGCTGATATGGATAAAGTTTTCATGGTTTGGATAGATCAAACCAGCCCCAACATTCCCTTAAGCCAAAGCCTAATCCAGAGCCAGGCCCTAACTCTCTTCAAGTCTATGAAGGCTGAGAGAAGTGAGGAAGCTGCAGAAGAAAAGTCTGAAGCTAGCAGAGGTTGGTACATGAGGCTTAAGGAAAGAAGCTGTTTTCATAATATAAAAGTGCAAGGTGAAGCAATAAGTACTGATGTAGAACTGTAGCAAGTTACCCAGAAGATCTAGCTAAAATAATTAATGAAGGTGGCTAAACTAAACAACAGATTTTTAATGTGGATAAAACAGCCTTTTTTTTTTTTGGAAGATTTTGTTCATTTATTTGAGAGAGAGAGAGAGAGCAGGGGGAGGAGCAGAGGGAGAGGGACAAGCAGACTCTGTGCTGAGTGCAGAGCCCAACGAGTGTCTAGATCTCAGGACCCTGAGATCAAGACCTGAGCCGAAATCAAGAGTCAAAGCTTAACCTAATGAGACATCCAGGCGCCCCTGAAACAGCCTTCTATTGGAAGAAGATGCCATGTAGAGAGGAGAAGTCAATACTTGGCTTCAAAGCTTCAAAGAACAGGTTGATTCTCCTGTTAGGGACTAATGCAGCTGGTGACTTTTAAGTTGAAATCAATGCTCAATGACCATTCCAAAAGTCCTAGAAGAATTATGCTAAATCTACTCTGCCTATGCTCTATAAATGGAACAAAGCCTGGATGACAGCACATCATTTTATAGCACAGTTTACTGGATATTTTAAACCCACTGTTGAGAACTACTGCTTAGAAAAAAAATTCCTTTCAAAATATCACTGCTCATTGACAATACACTTAGTCACTGAAGATCTCTGAAGAGCTATATAGATTAAGATTAAGCTATATAGATGTAGATATAGATTAAGAATAAGATTCATGTTGTCTTGATGCCTGCTAACACAACATTCATGCTACAGTCCGTGGATCGAGAAATCATTTAGACTTTAAAGTTATTACTTAGAAAATACATTTTGTAAGATTATAGCTGCCATCGGTAGTGATTTCTCTGATGGATCTGGGCAAAGTCAATTGAAAACCTCTGGAGAGGATTCAACATTCTAGATGCCATTAAGAAAATTTGTGATTCAAGGGAAGAGGTCAAAATGTCAACTTTAACAGGAGTTTGGAAGAAGTTCATTCTAGCCCTCATGGATGACTTTGAGGGATGACTTCAAGCCTTCAGTGGAGGAAGTAACTGCAGATGTGGTGAAAACAGCAAGAGCATTAGAATTAGAAATGGTGCTTGAGGATGTGACTGAATCTCTGCAATCTCATGATCACACCTTAACAGATAAGAAGTTGCTTCTTAGGATGAGCTAAGAGCATGGTTTTTTGAGATGGAATCTACTGGTGAAGATGCTGTGGAGACTGCTGAAATGACAACAAAGGATTTAGAATATTACATAAAGTTAGCTGATAAAGCATCAGTAGGGTTTGAGAGGACTGACTGCAATTTTGAAATAAGTTCTACTGTGGGTAAAATGCTATCAAACAGCATTGCAGGCTACAGAGAAATGGTTCGTGAAAAGAAAAGTCAATCAATGTGGCAAATTTTTTTGTCGTCTTATTTTAAGAAATTTCCATGGCCACTCCAACCTTCAGCAACCAACACCCTGACCAGTCAGCAGTCATCAACATTGAGACAAGATCTTCCACCAGCAAAAAAATTACAACTCACTGAAAGTTCAGATGACAGTTTGCATTTTTTAACAACAAAGTATTTTTTATTAGGGTATGTACATCACTTTGTTAAACATAATGTTATTGCACACTTGACAGACTACAGTATAGTATAAATATAACTTTTAATATGCACTAGAAAACCAAAAAAGTTCATTTGATTCATTTTATGGCAATATTTTGTTTATGGTATTTCCACTGTCTGGAACCAAACCTGCAATATCTCCATATAAATATCTTCCTTAAATTCTCAAAACAACCCTACAAGGTAGACTCAATCATTATCCTCATTTTTCAGATAAGTAATGGAGTCTTAGATTAAAAAAATAATACCCTGTTTCCTGCAGCTGGTCACATCAAGTGTCACATTAGAGAATAAACCCTCTGTGTGACTCTAAAATTAATGTCTTAATTAACTAATGTGATATGCTGCTTCCGTTCTGAAAAAGAGGCTTCTTACTTAGGGAATTAACACTGGTCTGTAACAAGGCAAGAGGAACTGCTCATTATACTAACAAGGGATAATGAAGACTTCTCTGAAAGAGAATAACATTTTATACGTTTCTTATTTCTCATTATGTCTTTCCATGTTCAATAATTTAGTCAATGCAACTGAGTTCTTATAATGATATTTGAAAAATTGCCCTGACTGCCACAGTCCAGTTCATGAGGACTTGCTTGTTATAATACCAGCATCAGTTATGTTATGTACCTTAATTAAACAGCAATAGGACTTAACTCTAAAATATGCCTACCTTTATTAGTCTTTTGTATCCATGGTGATTTAGTATCATCTGCAGTCAGTTATTTGACTTAGGCTAGAGGTTTTCATATTTAAGCTTGTATCAGAACGTCCTGCAGGGTTTACATAGATTACTTCACCCAACTCTCAGAGGTCTTGATTCAGTAGATATGGGTTACAGCTTTTAAAATTTGCATTTCTAACAAGTTCCTAGATGCTGCTACTGTGGCTGATCTGAAGAGCACACTTTGAGAACCAATGGCCCAGAACTTGGCTTAAACCCTTTCCTGTAAAGAATCAGGTAAATACTTTTAGCCTTCTGGGCCATATAGTCTCTGTCATAACTATTCAACTTTTCCTCTGTAATATGAAAGCAGACATACACAATACCTAAATAAATAAGAGATGGCTATGTTTCAATAAAATTTTATTTACAGAAACAGGTGTCAGGCTGGATTTGGTCAATGGACCCAGTGGTCAACCTCCAGCCTAGACTAAGTCAGTTTTAAAAAATCACTTTATCTATATTAAATAGCAATTCTGAGAGAATCAATGATAGATTTACTCACAAAAATCCCTTATAAATTTTAAAATAAAATCTGAAGAAGTATACCAGAGACTAAGCTATTGTGTTAAACCAGCATAGAGGAGAAATCCCAGAGCTTCCCTATGAATCCAATAAAAAAGCAGTACTTTTGTGCAAGAGTCTGCATCTTATAGTTTTAGTTTTATGATGCCCAGAACTCAATCTTCATTTTCAAATTTTAGTTTTAACTGGGTATTGTTTATAGTGTTAGAAGCTGTAAATCTATTAATTAAAAGAAAACCAACGTTAAAAATAAAAAGAAAAAACACTATACTGAATGACATAGATGATAATCAGGTTGTCTATTAACTTTGTAATAAAACAAAATAGAATGAAAACACTCTACTTGTCATGAGTGTGCCCAGCTTTAATGTACTTTGTCTTTACTCAGAACGGTGTATGTCAAACTAATGTAAAATGCCAATATAATCTTAAAAGTCTATTAAGCTATATATGCCAATAAACCCACTGCATTAACTCTATCCTTATAAAATGTAAGTTTCTGTAAAAGGACAAAATTCACAGACATTTTTGCCATAATAGAATGTGATTTAGTTCCCTGAAGATAATTATTTGCAAACAGCATGAGGAAAGTTAGTATTATTGGTCATCTTATAAACTTAAAATACAGATATTATGTCAAATGTCTCCAACAATGCTACAGACTAGAAATATTAAAATAAAGTCCTGGTAGACAATTACATATTCTAATATTTACTGATTTGCAGATGGAGTAAAATGACTTTATGGTAAGATATATGACTTCCATCTTTCAAAATCTTCTCCTAAATTTGATTAATCAAATGTTTCTTTTTGACCCATAGCTTTATGTTTACCGTTAAATATTTATTCTTCAGTCTAATGCAGTGGTTTTCAGAGTTCTCAGGTTTAAAAAAAACTGTTGAAAGAGTGTTATGGTCAAATGAAAGTGGAATCTATTGATTTTAAACACATTTCAAAGTTTCTTTTACTTCAGGACTCCTCAGAAACATTAATATTCATGGTAGGAAGATATGGTAGATTATGTGGCATTTTCCAACCTTATTTGAACATGGACCTCAATTATCAGTAGAACATCTTGAAGTACAAGAGAAACACTTAAGAAAACAATGTTCCTAGTGTCTGAATCCAGGTATCATTTAGTCATATGTTTTTAAAAAATAAATTCCATTTAATTCAACAAATATTTGTTAAGTACTTCTATCATTTGACTAATCACTTAAAAGTTAATCCTTTATTTTAAATGTTACTCACCAAAATCTATCTAGAGCATATCTTAATCCTATTAAACATACTTACACTCTTCTTCAGGCCTCTTCCGAAGTGCTGCACGAACTTCTTTACAAGGACTTCTCTGATATTGTGGGGGATTCCTTCCCCTTATTAGATTCTCCATCCTGTAAGAGAGAACCAAAACTAAATTTTAATACCAAAATCTTGATAAATTTTGACTCTTTAAATGGTCTATATCAAGAGTCAATAATTCAGGAACCCACTGAGGTTCAGTAGATAACACTATTCAGTATCTAGCAAGGAATAAGACAGTAAGAGTAGCAGGGAATGTGGTAAACTGGAGAGTGACTTTTCCAAGGAGTTCTAAATTTTCTTTTTTAAGTTTGTCTCTCTCTCTCTCTTATTTTTTTTTATTATGTTATGTTAATCACCATACATTACATCATTAGGTTTTGATGTAGTGTTCCATGAGAAGGAGTTCTAAATTAAAAAAAAGTTAAAAACACCACATGGACAAAATTCATATGCTCATTCTCCAATTAGAGATTGTTATGAACTGAATGTTTGTGTCTGTGTCCCCCATCCCCAAATTCATATGTTGAAGCTCTAATCCCCAGTGTAATAAAGCTCAGTTACTATCAACATTAGCGATGCTGACACCATAGCAATGTTGACAACTAGAAAATAACAATAAGTGGATCAAATGCAACTTGAGTTAGCATATTTTTTTTTAAAGATTTTATTTATTTATTTGACAGAGAGAGACACAGTGAGAGAGGGAACACAAGCAGGGGCAGTGGGAGAGGGAGAAGCAGGCTTCCCGTGGATCAGGGAGCCTGATGTGGTGCTCGATCCCAGGACGCCGGGATCATGACCTGAGCCAAAGGCAGATGCTTAATGACTGAGCCACCCAGGTACCCCTTGAGTTAGTATATTTTATAGTACATTCTTTGTGGTATTTTTTGGTTTCAGTAAACTTTACAGTTTTGTGCCACCAATACATAATCTACTCATTTTGATAACCTAAAAACTACTGAGAGTAGTCAGAAATACAAAAAGGAAACTTTTTATTATTTATTATTTTTCCTTTATATTTCTGACTACTGATGATGTGAAATTGATTCCATGTAACTATGTTTGTTTTCATATAACAAGTTAGAAAGCACTACTAGGACTCCAGGAGAATTTTACTTATATGGTTGCTATTGGAATCAAATATCTGCAAATCAACTCCCACAGGAATTGTGGTGCCCAAAGCTTGCATTCTGAGAACACTCACAAGCAGATCTGCAGGAGATCACATGCAGTGAAGTATGGCTTAAATATGATGAGTCTAGGTTCTAGAATCAGACTGCCTAGGTTCAAACTCCCATTTTGTCTCTTAAAGGATGATTTTATAAAATGATACCTACTTTTGTCCCTTACTTTTTTCATCAGTAAATGGGGGAAACATAAGCCATCTCATAGGACTGTTATGAGGATCAAATATGTTAATACATGTAAAATGCTTTACATTGTGTCCATCACAATTTGAGAGTTCAACAAATGTAGCTATTATTTATCATAATTATCCCAAATAAAAATGAAATCATATACTAAAATTTTAAATGTCCGGTATGTTAGGAAAAGTATGAAAACTGGTCTTTATTCAATAAAGGAAAAGAACAGACAGCAGTGTGAGAAAAAAAAATTCTGGCTAAATAAATGCTCTGGTTATTAGAAAAACACAAAACATCCATGCACATGAATTGCCAATTTTCAGAAATAAAGAACTTAATAAAGTATACTTCATTTTATTTAATAAGATTTAAGATTTACTATATGTTAATCTTTCAAGGATACTAAGATGGTTAAAGGGAGTTATCCTCATGAATTAACTAAAGTGTTACATAATGTATTCTTTCTTAGAGAATTTAGAAGATATTTCACAATTGTATAGTGCCCTTTGACTTTAGCAACAACAATAAATATATTTTATAATGTATTAGCATTTATCATTTATTACATTTTGTCTTTACACAAACTCCTGAAAGATCATTTTGAAGATGAGGAAACTAAGGCTCAGAAATGTTCAGTGACCTGTTCATGGCCACACATGAAATAAAAGGCTCAACTGAGATTTAATCAAGATTCTCTGACTTTTCAGCTTTTTCTTATTGTTTCTTAATCTATTGTTTCCATGAGTTTTTGATTATTATAATTCCACTAGGAGACTGATACTTGAGATTCTACTGTGTAATGAATAATTAATGATGAAATTCTTCTTTTTTTAAAATATTTATTTGACAGAGACAGTGTGAGCAGGAGGAGGGGCTATGGGAGAGGGAGAGAGAGAGAATCTCAAGCAGACTCCCTGCTGAGCAGAGCTGGTTGCAGGACTCAATTTCACAATACTGAGATCATGACCTAAGCCGAAATCAAGAGTCAAACACTTAACTGAGCCACACAGGCACCCCTAATGAGGAAATTCTTCTTAAATTCAATAATATTTATATTAATCTATACCTATATATAAATAGTATACATGTTAGATATTTATATAAATATAATACTACACAAATCTATATATTTTTATATAAGGCTATTTGCTAATTACATGTTGATTTTTGACCATTTAGCTATTTTCACTGAAAAGTTCCCTTCTATTAATGACACTTTAGAAGGCAGCTATGTTCAACACTATACCACCAATGCTGTACCTATCAGTGACATTTTAAGCTTTTGAGAACCACCAAAAAGATAACTAGGGCCAAAGAAACTCACTATAAGTTATATATACAACACACTAATAGATGAAAAAAATTTAAAACAGCGTTGAACGTTCTTTTTTCCCTGGAATGCTAAACATTATGCCCAGGAGAAAACACACTTCGAATTAAATTAAAATTTTACAGAGCAATGTTCATGTCCAAACTATTACATAACTGTGTGACTTTCATCTTCCTGAGATTACAGTCCTGACTGCTTGAACTCTTCCCACCAGTGTCATCTATGATCTACAGTTTGCATTAAATGGTCAGACAAAAAGACCAAAAATGAAGTTTTGGAGCACAGCCAGGACACAGCAAAGGAGCTATTCTCACTACTTTCAAACTTGGCAAGCCACCAGCGGGAGTGTGTTAACAGTGCCAGCAAGGAGAGATTAAGAGTGATGACCACAGGCAAGACAGATGCTCTGACAACCCCACTGAAGAGCTCTGAAAAGTGCAGCCTACATGTCAACTGCTGGGAGGAAATAGAGGCCGCCACATTAATATTAAAGAGCATGAAAAAGCAATCAGAGATTATGAGTAAAAGTGTCTACAACTCTCTTGGTGGTGTCTTCCAAACTTAGGTCATAAAATCACCTGAGGAGCCTTAAACAAGTACAAATTCTACCATTCCCAGTACTAAAGATTTTCATCCAGTAGGCAGGAGTCTGGTCCAAGTAGATGTACTTTTTAACGCTAATCAAATACTTCTGAAGTAGCCTTACATTGATCCCAATTCTGGCATTTGGGAACCCCTACAAATAAAAACTATACACTTGGAGATACAGGAGAGGGAAGTTCAGTGAATTCATTCCAGGATATAGTCATTTGCTGATACAAAGGTGAAGAGAATGCAATTAGGACAGGTACTATCAAAAATGAAAAGATTAGCCAAAGAGGTATTGTCAAAGGCTTGCCAAGTACTCTGGTAGTCTACCTAATGAACCAGGAGGCTGCCAACTGGTAAGACTGATAATCTCAACAGTGAAATGATTTCTTCCAACAAGGTTTGGCAGACTCAGCTGGATGAGAGAACAAGTTTGGATTAATCTAGAATTGTGGATTGGGTTGGGAGTATGACTAGTTAAGAAAGGAAGTGAAGCGTGGGTGCAAATATGGTTGAATGAATTTACCCTGGATGGAGGAGAAAGAGAAAGAACAATTGAGTCACTGGAGGACAAGGTATTGAGTTAAGAGAATAGAGCTATCAGGTATAAGTATTTCTAAAATGCCTATTATGTTCCAGGTGCTATGTTAAATTCTTTATATGTACACTATCTATGTCATTCTTACTTTATCCATGGTTAACCTGAGTTTCAGTAAGTACAAAAACTGCAGGGATCATCAATAGTTTCAGAGAAGAGAAACTTATTTTTACATTGCCTTGTCATACATTTAAGGGATGACAAATACTATAGTATATTGTTTTCACCTTTTTCCAAAGAAATAGAATTCAAAGTAGGTAGGTATTATTATGGACGTCTTGAAAATCTAGAGTTTACATTTTGTAAACAAATCAGAAATGTGAATGGTATATATAATTTGCTCTTATAGAGGTTGTAGCAGACAATTGTTCCATGAAACATCTATGAAATTAATGGAAAGAGCATGTGTAGCAATGGGAAAAAAAAAATGAAGCTCCTCAAGAGCCCAGGCTATTAGCTACTATGTGAACTGTACAGATAGAACTTTCTGCAGTGATGGAAATGTTCAATATCTGTGTTGTCTGATCCAGTAGCTACTAGCCATATTCAATTATTGAACATTTAAAATGTGGCTGGTGTGATTGAGGAACTGACTTTGTGATTTTTGAAATTTTATTGAGTTTAATTTATTTACATTTCAATTTCAGTAACTACATGTGACTACAGTAGTAGGAACAGCATGGCTAGAAGTCTCCATTTAGTACATGACTGGTAAAGATACGATTCTCCACAGAAGAATTCTGAATTAGTCAACAAGAGCAGGGAAGTAAAGTTTTGGAAAAGTGTTCCATATGAGGGTCTTTAGAGACAAATGAATAACTTAACTCCTCAATGTAGAATTGGGTCACAGTGACCTCCTAGGAGCCTCCTTGCAGAATCACAGTTTTTCATGCAACTGTGGTTTTCAACTATGGAGCTCTGCCCCTGGTACATCTAAGTGCCTTGAATATACACTTAAAATTCATTCCTCTCTCTGGGCCTCTACATATAATGCTCCTTCTGACTCAAATGAGTCCTCCTCCTACTCTAGCCGAATAATTCTTAATCATCCTTCCAGTCTTCATTATAATATTACTTTTTGAGATAATAAGGGATCACTTAATCTGACACCTTAATCTAATGAGGTCCCAAATATGGCTCCGCCCTACACCCTGGAGTTCCCATCATAACATTTATCACCAGTAGCAATTATGTATTAGTCTTCCAGAA